TCTGAATTTATTGATTAGTAGACTGAGAATAATTCAATATTTGTGTCTTGTAAATGAACGAACCTCGTCTGTTAGTTGAGAGGGGTAATAAAGTACAAAGTTATTAAACATCTGATAGCTTTCTATTTATTTTTAAATGCTCTCTGTGGGCAAATTGTATAGTTCACTACCGAGCTCTAAAACGTTAAATGAATATCTAAAATAAATAGATAAAATTAGAACATTTTTGAAAGAAAAACGTCAAGTTATATAGCTTTATATGAACCTGTTCGCGATAATAAGTTCGTATAATTTTTGTAAATTTATAAGAAGTTTCAATGATTTATCCTCATATGTAATCCTGTGGCAAACGGACATTAAACGTTCAGAAAGTTTGGTTTTCACGTAACATTGAATACTGACCAGCATGATATGATAAACAAAAGAATTTTCAAATTCCTGTATTGACCATTTTTACCCTGCAGTACAGCAGAATGAAAGCCACATACCTAATATGTCCATTAAGAGTAAATAAAATCAATAGTTTCACTTAAAATTTTACGCAGGTCTAATTTCATATTACACAGTCATCACGTATGCTGTAGTTAGAAATAAGAATTTATATCACATCATATAATAATCACAAGCAATACGGAATGATAATTTGTATTCCATTAAACAGCCTTTGTACAGAGTCAATCAAAGTACCACTGTTCTTTAATCATTGCCTCATGGATCAGAGACAGCAAGAAAATTTGCTTTAAATTTGTTTTTGTTTTCCAAGACCAGGAAATGAGACAAAGCAACAGCACAGCAATGTCGAAACCACGCCCATCTGGAAGAGTTATTCACCGTACAACAGGGCCATGGACTGAAAATTATTTACGGTTTTGTGATAATAGTTCATTCATTATTCCAATATCATGTTCGGCATTTGTCATAGTCGGATGTACACATGATCATCCCGATGATGAAGGCAGCAGTACCAAAGTACACTGCACAGCGACCAAGAAGATAACCATCTTCATGTTACAATCGACTGAAATCGAGATCAGAAAAAAGATGGACTTTCTCAGTTTTGTAAACACATACGTATGTCTACGTTAAAGGTTATACAGAGTGTTCGAAAAGACACGCAACTTATTCCGGACCGGAGATAGGGATTAGCTCTATCTAGTGGGCCCAACTGTGTAGGAACCTGAAGACGGAGATAGAGTCCCATCTCCGAAACGTCGCTTTACGTTTTATACTTTATATTTTACTAGACGATGGATAATATCCAAGGAAATTTTTATTCAAAAGATGTGATACTGTCGATTTGTTTTGGCACAGAAAAATCGGAGAATGTGTCTTTAAGCTCATTCTATCAAGTTAAGTAAGAACGAGATGATGGGCAGTGTTCGACAATGGACACTCGTTGCGCTTGTGAAAAAGACATCCTCGCACTTCGACTGCTGAAAGACAAATGACGGACTGGCGCGAGCAGATTACGACACGATTTGAGTGGTCTTCGTACGGGTATCTGACCCGACACAAGCCATATTAATGTTATCTTGGCGGAAGAAATTGTGAAGATATATACAGATGCAATTTTATGTTAAAGCCCAATTATCATGACCATAATGGCCATGGAGACCACAGCCTTCTAACCAGTGCATACAGGACATCTTCCTTTTGCATCAAAGCCAAAAACACGTACAGACTTCCTTTCATGATACGATTTTCTGATATGACGCTGAACAGATGGACAGAATACTTTTGGTATACAATCTAAAATTCACAAAAATACATAAACAATAGGCCAGGATTTTACAGTATGCCTCGAAACAAATTTGACAGTTTAATTTGTTTTAAAACTTCACTTTTTACGTAAGAAAGGACTCTCCTTCTCTCTAAAATAGTATTTTGTGACATCTGTCAACTCTCACAAAATGAAGGGTAAGTTTTAAGCCTTGTCTTGACGTAATCCATTAGCAGACATGCAGCAGACTGTCTAATTGGAAAAAATATCGAGTGTTTTGAGAGTCAGACTTACTCAACATGCCTCGGCTGATTCAGACGTAAGATAAAAATGTTAATTTACAAATTATCACAATGGTGATCTCACAGAACAACTAATTAACTCAATGGAGCAGAGTCCTTCTTGATAAGCAGTTGCTCAACTAGACAAGAAATTTCCCACCTTTTATGGAACCCATTGGTTCATTACCATGTTCATAACAGTCCACCACAGGTTCCTGTCCTGAGCCAGATGAATCCAGTCCACGTCGTCAATTTTGTATTTGTGTAAGATCCATTTTAACGTCAATCTTGTATGCATTAATCTCATCTCCTTGCGTGCAACATGCTCCGCCCATCTCAACGTCCTTGATTTGATCACACTAATAGTATTATATAAAGAGAAATTATGAAGCACATTACGAAATTTTCTGCGATCTTCTGTCATTTCCACTCTTTTGAATCCAAATATTCCCTTCAACCCACTGTTTTTAAACACCCTCAAATTGTATTTCACCATCAGCCATACTAAACAGGTACAATAATATGGCGAGATTTCAGGTTCTCATGGCGGCTATTATGAAGATGTCAGTCTTGTCGCCGTGAAGTGTGGCAGAAGTTTGCCGACGTTTCAGAGGCGATTTATGCCCCAATCATCTTCAGCCTCTATATAGTACAGACGGGAAGGCAAAAAGATTCTGAACTACATGAAAGCAATCATTCTCCAAATTGAATTTGCTCTCTGTTTCTTAGCATCGTGTGAATGGTATTCTGATTTGTTGTTTTGGTTTCAAGATATTTAAAGTTTACCGCCTTTTCAAATGATTTACAGACTTCCCTTATCGTGTAATACGATACGTAATAAACGTTTCCACGAACCAAAAACCGTAACTTGTTTTATGGTCACACTGTTGGTGCCCCGACTTACACCCGTAGACCTTTTCTGACTGGAGACAGTTAAATGTTCCTTCCGTCAACTTCAGACATGTTTCATCACACACACGCCCATTACCAACATTAGCACCTACCTGGAAGATAAGATTGCTGATAAGAATATATGTTGTCCACCACCGATTTATTACGGTGCTGTGGTTACAAGGACCTCTAAGACCGTACATGCTACCCCATCGCCCAGCCAGACAAACATTGTCCTCGACATTACCATTTTACCACTACCCAAACATCATTATGATTCATAACAAATCTTTGGAATGTTAAATTAAAAATAAACCAATATTACAGTAGTCTGAGGATGATATAAATAAGTTATACATATTTTATTCTGCAAGCTTTTCTTTTTCCGCGCAAGTTAAAATGCAGTGTTATCTTACTATAAAAATTTCTGATTCCTCGTATCTACTATAAAAATTTGTGATTCCCCGTTGTCGTCAACCAATTTGTCGTCAAGTTTAATGTCGCCGAGTTTAATGTCTTACTTAAGATTTTAAAACGCAACCAACCCCCCCCCCCCAAAGAG